ACTCTTCCGATTCTCTCCCGCATCCCACCTGGGGGGGGAGGGGGGGGAAGTGAGTGAGTGGCTGTGTGGTGCTCAGTTGCCAGCTGAGGTTAAACCACAACAGTATCATCTTAACTTACTGCCTGCAATCATATAAATAATTCTTTTGCACTTAACATATGCTAATTTTTGCAAAGAAAAAAAAAACATTCAATTGTAATAGTGGGTATTCACTAAGCAATACAGATCATGTATCAAGTACTCAAACACAGAAGTTATGCCTGCTTACCTTGGATTTAGCATGCCAGCTGAAGTGAAGATTGTTGGTCTCGCTGGGTATTAAGAGATTGAAGGACAACGCATAGTAATTAACCACATCATTCCTCACGTAAGACAACTCTGCATCAAGACCTGTAATGAGACAGAACAGAGTAAGTCAGGGAGGAACAGGACCAGCAGTAACACACCGGAACAAACAACTCCCAGTACCACCAGCTCCACTTGTATTTGAATGTTTAAGCAAATACTTCCTCAAGTCCATAAATTCAATTGCAGGTTTGGAGATTAACGCTTATGCACGTCAGCATTAACAAGACTGCTTCAAATTCTTACAAAGCAACAATTTCAGAGAGATGCCGCAGCCTAATAAACAGGTAAAAGTTGGAATGTAATGGAAGGAAATATGACTTGTCATACAATCCTCCAAAAGAGTCATTACAGACTCTCCTGAATGTACTCCTGTCTGCTTCTGGGAATCACAGGTCCAGTTCTGCTCTTATTTACAACTGAGTACACTCAAAACAAACTGCTTTGGATTATCAGCTCATTAACTGCAGGTAATTCTTCCTGGAATAGCTCATTTCTTGAGCTGAGACACATAAGCACTAAGAAATTAACGTCAAGGTAATTAGATCATAACACAAAGCACATAATGAGAGGAGGAATGACATTTGTATACCAAGTAATACTAATATTTTTTGTCTACCCTTTGCTTTCTGGACTTTTAAATAAACCTAGATAATTGAAAGACCCACAAAACTATTTACTACAGAGCACTAAGATGCATTTCCCTAAGTAGATGCATACTCCTGATATTAAATACTGATATTAAATACTGAAGCTGCCGTTATCTTTTGCAGCACACATTCCAAGGTCACACTGAATACAGAGTAGGACCCTACAAGCTTGCCCTGGGTGTCATTAGCAATTAGCGGTAAAGTAAGCACTACAAGTTAACCCCCTTCCATACAGCTGTAAAATTAATCCCAGCTCCATATCCTCAGGACAAAACCATACTGTATTTGTAATCAGTACCATTTTGTCTTGTCTCATACAGCTTTTCCTCCATTGCTCCCAGTTAAACACTATCCAGGCTCAGCAATATATTGACATGCTAAAAGAACAACGGGGCAAATCAGATACAGGTGCATGCTCCAAGCATGATCTACACAGAGGGAACTGGGTTCAATTAAAGTATTCACAGTACAATTGGGAACGTAAATAATAGAGTTATTTTTATTATGGCTAGAAAGTCAAGAAAACTGGAGAGGCTGTGACTCCAAGATGACAGCATTTAAGGCATCCTGAAGTTATTCTAAGAATCTAGGGAATCATGAAAGGGTGGTGGTGGTTTTTTTTTTTAAGAAAGAAAAAAAACTCTGAAGATAACTATTGAACTGTGTAGACAAGCTGCATTTGAAAAAAGGGAGAACTAGCTTGAGAGAAATAATTCCTCCTACTTAGTGCAAAAACTGGGCACAGATCAGTACAAAGTGATAAGCATTCTCTTATTCCAGAACTTGATTTAATCCACCTTGTTTTCACAAGATACAGAAACGCAGCCAAGACATTCCTCTTCATTCTTATTGCTGCTAACCACTTTTACTCCCTGCTGGCTCATTACTGTCCTGAAACTTAATCAAAACTCAAGAGTATATAATCACAGATACTGGGGGGTGGCAAGGGGGAGAACCCTAGAGACTGGATGCATGAAAAGAATCAACAGAACAGAGTAGTCCCAGGGAGAAATACTCTCAGACAAGATCTTGAACGGAAAAAGATGCAGGTGATGCCTTAAGTGCTGAATGTAATCAGCCTGAGACAGTATATAAAAGAGTTAAACCTTTCTTCTCCAATCTGTCCATATTTCCACTCAATAATAAATGGCAAATGCAAAAGCATATCCATCAGTAAAACAGGGAGGAGGGGGAAGCACACACACACCTTGAAACAAAATAAAATTTTGAAAGTACATAAAAGAAACAGCAAACTTCCAAAATAGCTTGCCCAGATAATTTTTACATGTGTACATGTTCATACATGAAATCTACCTCAGATTTAGAAAACATGGAAGGAGTGTGGAGAATAGCTCACAACTATCAGACACGTGCCATTAGATCCAATCAAGAAGATGGGAAGCTTTATGGGCATAAACTTACTAAAAAAAGTATTCATATCAAACCCAGCAAGTACAAGTTATTAAAAAAAAATTAGGAGGACAAAAGGATTAGCAAGTGAAACAATGAAACTGGAGCAATGAAAGTGCTTTTGGAATAAACAAAACCTTCACTTGCTGATAATTGATCACACCAGCGATTAGAGGTTCACAAAAACAAGATTTCAGAACTTGTAACACCATGAGATTTTCAAGGTGATAATCCTTGATGTAATACAAACTTTGTAGAGAAACTGGTCATAGAAATCAAATGGGTACACAGCAATAAAATTGCCTGTGTTATAAAAACTGGCCTTTATGAAAGTAATGTAAAAGGCAATCCTAATTGAAGCTGTCAAGCATAAATATCTTGATGTGCAATATCTAAAAGGTGTACAAAACCAAATTACCCTACAGAAGATCAATCAAATCTTTAAGCTTTAATAGTGGTACAACACTGAGTACTTTGATTATATAGACCACTAATGTTTTAATGCCTGTACTGCCATAAAAAGCTACACACTAACAGGTGATACTAATTATATGAATTTCAACAGCATCATGTAAGAGCAGCATGAGAATCAATGTCAAGTTTCATTGCTTCAAAAAATTATGCTCTCATTAAAAGACTGGCATATAAAAATAATTTAAGAGGTTTTGTAGTATAGCTCTTAACTCATAAAAAAGGCAGAAGATTGCCTGGCTTAGTATCCCATTTCTATCAGGGGTCTACAGAAAATGCCTAAGAAAGAATATAGAACCGAAGTAAATACACAGTGACACTTTGCCAATAGATCCTCTGTGCTTCTAGTGTTTGTGGATCACAAACTTCCTAAACTAACAGGCAGTATCTTCCAACAGCTTCCCGTTAGATTTTTTTTTTTTTCCTTCTATGAATTTAGATAAATGTTTTCTCAAACCCTGGAAACTGATAAATACGTACTTGGGGAAATGTTAGTGTTTCAATACTGCATGGTATTTTTTCCTTTTTAGTTTATCAACAATTAAAACATTTCCTCTATAGCACATCTTTTCCCATCAGCAAACTACAGACAAAATTCAATTTGCCATGCACAGCTACAAACCTGTGTCCACACCAGACAAGCAAGCTCCCATCTCCCTACCTCCAATCCGCCACCGTACAGTTTTGCTTCCGGACTATCCTTCCATCCCTAATTTTTCATCCCCTTGCTGCCTCCCCCACCTCAATCCTGAATTCCTGAAGCACCTTGTCTAAATAATTGATCTCAATCAGGCCAGCAAAACACATAAAAAATTGCAGTTGAACCTGCCAGTCAAAAAAAGCACCTTTCCTGTGCTCCGGGCAGGCATCCAGGCAGGAAGGTGTGTTCTGCCCAACAAAAAGGAGCCCAGGTGCCAACTACCAGCAATGCCGGGAGCCACACGACATGATGTGTCAGAATGACACAGGGCACTGCAGCAAACAGTGGTGGAAGCCAGAGCCGTAGCTCACCGATCGGTTGCGTGATCTCAGTATTCTTGATGCAGGCTGCCATCGCTTTGGTCACTGCATTCCTGGGCTTCCTCTGTTTTGTGACTCTTCTGCTTAGAGGAAGAGAAAATTTCCCTATACCCAGAGAAATTGGCTGGGCAATGCTGCAGCACCGTGTGTGCTCAAGAGCTCCACGGCGGGTGGACTCCAGACTTCTATGGTTGGTAGATTTTAGCCAAGATAAGGTATGCTTTTCTCAACACCACATGGGTTGCACAGGTTAAATTCTCACCAAGAAAAACCACGGCACAGCCTGCCATGCTCCAACAGCCCTGCACTGCTGAAGACAGAGGACGAGGATGCCACTGCAAACACACTGGGCAGATCGCATCCAACACCTCTCTTCCCATAAGTTCAGATCAAGAGGACAACGATCAGCCTCGGTGAAATGTCAAACAGGTTCGGTTATGTTCAGTGAATACTGGTGGTGAGCTACCCCTATTCAATCAGATACTTTGTTCCTTGTTATCTACACACCTTTTTACACACAACAAAGTGGTGCCTCCTCACTGCTTAGATTTCCAGACTGATTAAGTGCTGTTATTAACTCTCTCTGAAGTAGACATTAAAAATCGTTAAGGAATTTGCAGAAAACACTTTAGGCTTCATTACCATGACAGTTTAAGTCTAACTCAGAATTGCTTTAATTCTGCATTTCACCTTTTTTCTTCAGACGTGCATACTTACACCTGCCTTGCAATGTTCCTTATTTAAACCTTCAGCAAGCCAAGTTCAAGGAGCAAGCTGGCACTAGGCGGGGAGAAAAAAAAGTGGGGGAACACTCCTCAGTCAGTTTAACTCCCTGAATTAGTGAGGATGGTCAGGAGCATCCTCAATGGAGAATATGGAGGGCAAGACTGCAACAGCACTAACCAGATGGATCTCATACTGAAATAGTAGTTACCTTATCCAGGTAGTCTATGCTTTTTTCCAAAGCATGCTTTGGGCATAGGTAGCTTCGAAAGATGGTATCAAATTAAGCAAGTCACTGTCAATACACAGCCTAAACCAACGACCTCAATTTTTTACTTTTTTTAAAATGTGTAAGTCTCTTTCAAATACAGGAGCAGCGTAAGGTATAATTAGCCTATGTAGCAGGTTGCTGAGGAAAAGAAGATAGAAACAAGGTTTGTTTTGCCAATTGTTTCAGATTTCAAGAATGCTTAGTAAATTACTAAACTACTACGCTAAAACCTACTGACCGGTAGAGGGGGAGGGAAAATGTAAATCTGCAAGATGTCGGGTTCCTCCTAAGGTGTTGAACACTTCCACCACCTTGCACTTTAAGTAGGGCAAATAGACCAGCATCCTGGAACAAACCCAAATTGGTATGTAATGTTTTATGTCATATTTGGAATGATAAAAGGAGAAAATGGGTGGCTCTAGAAGAAAAACACAGATGCATTACAAACAGCTAGAGAAAATGGGCAGTTCTTCAATAA